GTGTCCGGCAACGGATCGCAACCCTCAGTGTCACGCCCGTACCGGACCGGGACCGGCAACGGGGTTGCAACCCTCGGTGTTGCGCCCACACCTCGCTCAGCCAGTGAGCGGGAACCGGTCTGTATGTGGGATCCGAACCCTCGGTGGGAGCGTCGCCGCGCTCCTAAGTGGCGCACTGTAGCAGTGCACCACCGGGCCGGCCCAGGTAAGCCAATCTTGAATTATGTCTACATAGACTAAATGTTCAGTTAGCTGAAAACAAGTGTATTAGCAATGAAGTTTAATGGCTACTAAATATATATATTATTCAGGACCATCAAATGAAGGTCAGAAACTGCTCCAAAATTTCTCTTTTGGTAGAATCATATTTGGTTTCTAAATATCTATAGGTCAGCTGGGAGTGTTAATGTAATGAGTGAATTACTCTTGGCAGTTTTTCACTGTTAAGCTGAAAGCTTTGGTTGCTGCCTCAGCAGAATATTTCATTTTAAATGCTTGATGTGGGAGACTGATTACATCAGAACTGGGTCTGGTGATTTGGTTATGGTATTAGAAACAGCTTTATAACATGACTGAAGTAACACTCAGATATTTTTTAGAATGATAATCTAAGAGAATGACCACCGAGTTTCAAGACCGACTCTTAGAATGTAATTAATGACAGAAAAGTGAAACTACCATGAGAATTAACAAAAAGGTTGACATATGATTGTAATTTTCTCCCTGGAAGTTGAGATATATTCTGCAATCTGAATGTGTGTCTTTTGTTAGCTGATGAAACCTCTAGGTTTTTATTTTTTATTTATTTATTTATTTTTTGCTTTTGTAAGTGGTTCACTGCATTTCTACATGGTAAACTGCCTGGATAATTTGAGTCAATTCAAGTAGCAACATGGGTTACTAGAACTCTAGAAACATTTTACTAAATTGATATCTTCAGACAAAATACATTATACTGGACTTCTGAAATTTGATCTCAGTTCTTAACTTGAAAGTAAAGAACTTTCTTATCTAGAATGAATGGGATTGTAAAAATCAAATCAGGGCCTTCCTTGTTTCTCTGTTAACTTTTTAGTCCATTAATATTAGAACACCGATTCTCAAACTTTCATGGGTAAAGGAATTACCCAAGCAATTCATTTTTTTTTTTTCCTTTTTATCTTTTTTACTGACCGGTAACTGGATCGCAGCCCTCAGTGTCGCGCCCGCACCGGGGACCGGTAACGGGATCGCAACCCTCGGTGTTGTGCCCGCACCGCGCTCAACCAGTGAGTGGGAACCGGTCTCCACATGGGATCCGAACCCTCGGCGGGAGCGCCGCTGTGCTCCCAGGCGGTACACTCTCCAGTGCGCCACCGGGCCGGCCCAGCAATTCATTTTTTAAAAAGCAGATTTCCAACCCCATGTTCAGATTCTGTTTCCATAGGATTTGTGTGGGGCCTGGGAATATGCATTTTTAACTAACTTCTCATGTGGCTCCATGGACAATTTCTGAAAATAGCATTTGAATCTATTCTACAGAATGACCCCTGTGATCTAGAAATGTATACCTTTAAGGGAAGCCCTTGACTCTCTTCCAGATGATAAGATAAAGCCATTATTATCCAATGATTTAAATAAGTGCTGAAGTAAGATGTTATACGATACTCAAAACATAAATGCACAAAACATATAGCATTACAGGATCACTGGCTAGTCTGTATGATTGCTAGGGTAAAGGCCTGTTTAGAGGCATTCTTTTATGACCTGTCTAGTTGGCTTTGAGTTTGAGGGGTCAATTTTGATCAAAAAGGATGTTTTAAAAATCTAACAAAAATATACTCCATAATTGATGACACTGTTGAATTAAAAAATAAGAAACTGTAGCTAACTGTAGCTATCTGAATGTATTATTTTATGGTTGAATGCACCATTGAAAAGCTATGATATATGATGAAGCAAACTGCTGTACTTAGAGGTATCGTTCACAATAATATGAGGTGCTTGTAAACTATTGACGTTAAATCTTAAATTGCAAATCCATTTCATTTTTGTACAGTTAAATGTTTTAAGAAGCAGGAATTAAAATAGTTCTAGAAAATTTAAAAGGTAAAATAATATATTGGATTGAATACACTCTTTAGGAATAGTTTCTTTCATTCAGGGGAGTCAGTAGCTTAATCGATACCCTCATTTATACTGCTGTTCCTCCACAGGTCTGTTTGGGAACTATTTCTAGTTAAAATACTTTAAGAGAGGGCCAGCCCGGTGGCGCACTGCTACAGTGCACCGCTTGGGAGTGCGGCGGCGCTCCCGCCGAGGGTT